CATAACAAAATTGAAAAAAGTGAAGGGGGTCTGAATACTTTCCGAATGCACTGTATGCTAATCCTTTGCACGCTTTGAAGATGATTTGGAAGCAGTTGTTTGGACCTCATGTAAGTGTAACACCTCACTGCTATTTCTTAAAGTAGCCCTACTATTTCAAGCTTCTGTGTGAATCATTTTCTAAGTGTGCACAGCCTTAATATTTCTATGCATATGTTTAATTATGCTTTAAAACCACGTTTTCTGTATTCATTTATGATATCAGCCCCCTCTTTTTTAATAACAACAATTGGGATGGATTTCAAATTATATTTTTATTCCATGTTCCTCATGTTTGTTAACTTGATGACAGAAAAAGTACATTGCAGCACAAATTGTGTTACTTTTTCATCATAATTATGTGGGCTTGCTTATTATATTTTGTGATGCATGGACATCACTATAGATTGAACATTATTTAGAATAGCTCTTCTGAGTCTAGAATTCTCATTAGACTCAATATGCATATGCAGAATTTGTAACAAAAAGTCAAAATGTTTTGTTTGGCTAGATGACACATTTGACCATATTTATTTATCCCTATTTCAGAGATTCAGGGTTTGATGTTTCTTTTCCTTTCATAAGATTAGAAAGGAGGGAATATCTGAACTTGATAATATTCAGGATGGGAAGGATTAGTCAAAACTGACAGAATGATCTAAGATTATATCTGGGAGACAAGTTTTAGATTACCTGTTGTCCACACTTAATGCCTGGAAACCATTTATTAAATGAGTGTAGACTTTCTCAGGATCCAAACACCAATTTCCATGTTCTGTTTTGAATGGCAAACATGTTGATGTGCAAGATGCCATTGATATTCTTCATATAGATGTTTCAGGTATCTAACAAGCTGTTATTTCGTACAGAATCTAGGGTGAAGAAAAACAGTTAATTTTGCAGAGGTTATTCTGTGTCTCTGGGTGTCTAGCTAAGGATTGTTTGCTTTTTTAAAAAAACATGTTTTCTTTTTTTTAATTTCAGACAATCAGAATGGCTACAGGAGCAGATGTTCGGGATATACTTGAGCTGGGGGGCCCAGAATCTGAAAACATAGGAACTATTAATAAGAAAGACATCATCAATTCTGATAAGGTATAGATGGGGATGGCTGACTGAGATAAGTCTTCAAAGTGATGAATTTCACTTTTGGTTTTGGACTACTTCCATTGAACCCTTTTTAAACAAAGCTGAAGCAACACTTGCATGATACTCTCCATCATGTGCTGTTGATTACAGAGTGTGAGATATGAATTATAGAAATTATGTAGATCATGGCACAAGAAATCAGAATCTTTCCGTAAACATGCAACAAGATTATCCCTGTTATTTGGGATCTTGCCCGCATGATTTTCTCATGGAGGAATCTTGCTACCTCTGTGCTTGAGGAACTTGAGAGGCTTTAAAAGAAAATATAAAGTGCAATTTTTTGTATGTGTTTATAAAATTTGACACAATTTTAGCCTCCCAGTTCTGATGTCCTCATGTATTTGGATATCTAAAGAAAATACTGTCTTTGTACTTTCACTTACTCTATTTTGTTTAATGGAGTCAGTGAAATATTACAGGTATTTAGAGCTAGAATACAACACTTGTATGGCCTCTAATGTCTAGTTTAAAGATTTTATTCTACTATTTTAATAAAATCTGCATTTTTCAGAGTTCACAGAACACTTATGAATTTCCCAGTGTCTTGTTTGTATATTTATCTCCTGTCTTCTTTTTGTAGCTTTGTTTACCTTATTGGCAAGAGGGGAACAGGGCTACCAAGCACAATGAAAGGAATGACTAACAATGTTAGAATGAGAAGGAATGCGATTGGTCTGGGATAAAAGAAATTTGTTTGTTCATCAGTCAGCTGCATTTAGAATCTGTACTACCCACACCACCTGTGTTCTATGTTTTAAGAAGCAAAAGAGAAATGGGAAGTAGAGGCTTTGGGAACTTGGACTATGAGAACATGTTTTAGGATATCACTAAGGAGACAACAGGCATAACACTGTCTTAAGAACTCAAAAAGGCAAAATAACCAAAACCTACTCCTAGTAATGGACCTTAATGCTCTCACAAAAGATTTAAATATTTTTTGTTTCAGAAAAAATCCAAGAAATCATCAGAGACCCTAACATTTAAGAGACCGGAAGGAATGCACCGAGAGGTCTATGCGCTGCTGTACTCTGATAAAAAGTAAGTTTTTTGTTATACATTTGCCTCACTTAAGTGTATATACTCAGTCAGCTTCCCATCTTCTAGATTTCTAAATTTCATGCACAAAAAAGATTTGACAGATCACTTTTTAAATTTTGCCTTTCTTCCATGTCTTATCTTTCCTAGAGTTTCTGGTCCCTGTGATCAGGTCAGAAATGTGCAGTGTTTTGGGACCTAGGGCCACACTTGGCTTTTGAGTGTCATATACTGAGCTGAATTTCCAAAAGAGGGTAGTGTCAAGACAAAATAGATTTATTTAAAGTTGATTTAATTTTAAGCATTATAAAAATTATTAGACTTGCTAGGACTACTCCCTTTGTATCTAACATCATTTTCTTTCTGTCACATTAAATGTTACGGTTCAGCAACAATTTTTGAAGAGATTCTGGAGCTTGGTGGGAAACAGCCTGTGCCCTTCTGACCTAGATGTAGGGAGAGGTTCATATGTAATATTGCCAGAAATTTTCAAGGCATGGAAAAGCCACCAGAACCTCTCTTTTTTTTCTTTTCTTGAAAATAATGGGTGAAATTTGAAATATATCTAATACCGTCTTCTGACGGTAAATAAATTTCTGAATTTATTTAATTAAACTAAGTGTATAGTTTATTTGCCTGATAAAACTGTAATTTGGGGGTTATTTATAAAATGTAAAATCAGTTATTTTTTAATAACATTAAACACCTTAAGCTACCTAGATATATTTATTTGTTAGGAAAATAGCAATTAACTAAAAATTGAAAATTACAGTTCTTCAGTAATATAATAAAAAGGAAGGTTTTAATATATTACATCTCTATAAGCAAGAATTCTAAGCACCCATATAACTTATTTGGTGTGCCCAAGGAAATTTTGGGCTTGTTTCTTAGATTCATGGCCTCTAGGAAGAACAGTTAAAATGTATGCATGCAAAGTCATAGTTTTTTTCTAAAAATGAAAATGCTACTTATATATTTTTTGGCATTTAAATTTTGTTAGAGCAGGGTGTTACGAAAACAATGCTGAACAGCAACATTACTTTAATCCTTGATTAGGTTGGCCTGCTGGATAATATAATATAACTATCCTATACTTGATCTTAGTCAATAGCAAATCTCCCAAATATTATGCTTTTTTATTACAAAAAACATGATTTCCAAGCATGGTAAGCTATTGTAATCTTTGCAAGATCTAATCTCTCAAAAACATTTGCAGATGTTTCAAACATAATTTAGCCCTAACCAAGAGGATAGCTGTGAAGGAGAAATCTGGTGTGTACCACTCCCTACTTCAGAATGACTGCATGGGACTTGCTTATCCTGTATTGGGAATTTGGACTCTGCTAAGCTATAACAGAGCGTCAGTTTGGTATAGTGGTTAAAAGCACCAGACTAGAAACAGGAGACTGAGAATTCTAGGCCAGATTTAGCCAGCTGGGTGATTTTAGGCAAATCTCTCTCGCTCAGCCCTAGGAAGAAGGCAGTGGCAAACCACTTCTGAAAATGCTGCCAAGAAAACTGCAGGGATTTGCCCAGACAGTCACCAGTCAAGACTGATCCAAAGGCACAAAAAAAAAGACAAAGCCATAGCATCATAATATAAATCTATAAAATAAAATGGGAATAAATTGTTGGGGTATAATAAAAATAAATAATACAGTCAGGTAACTTTTAAACTCATTCCTATAATTGTCAATAAGTTGTTTTTCCTCACATCTTTATCCTCCCCATTTCTGTTTTCTTATGTCATCTCTTATTTTATTATAATACAGATAAATGTTAACAACATGAGAGAAATCAGCAAGACTATTCAGATAAAAACATTTTTGTAAATTCTTTTGGCTGGCCTTTGCATAAAATAATACATTCAGGACTTAATAATAAATTACTCCCAAACTCACCCAACCTCAATTTTGTATAGGTTATATAAAATAATTTGAAGGTCTGCATTGTTGTCTTTAAGGTGTCTTTAACTCTTTTTCAGAAAACATGGATTGAGCAGTAAATATGCCTGCAATGATTCTTATGCTGATAATTGGTTGATTTAAGTCTTGTATTTTTCTTTCAGGGATGCACCCCCTCTTTTACCAAGTGACACAACACAGGGTTATCGTACAGTAAAGGCAAAACTTGGTTCCAAGAAAGTGAGGCCTTGGAAGTGGATGCCATTCACAAACCCTGCTAGGAAGGATGGGGCTATGTTCTACCACTGGAGAAGGGCGGCAGAAGAGGGCAAGGATTACCCTTTTGCCAGATTCAACAAAGTATGGAGGCTTGATAAGAGTTATATTGTATGTGTGGGATTGGTATGCTTAATGGAACTGCATAAAAAATATTTAAAAATTAGTCCCCGATACTCTTTTTTACTTGCTATGTCTAGTGCTAACTCCCACATCAGTTTTTAGTGATCTACTACTATAATTTACACTGCAGCTATAGAAGGCAGCCACAGAGCCATGTTTGTTCCCCCATGTGCTCCACAGCATCTTTTTGCCTTTGAATCTGAGGCATTGCATAGCCATCCTCTTCAGGTGCAGCCAAAATGATGAATGAATCTAGGAAGTATAGAAAAAATGTTGGAGGGAACTAGAGATGTAAAAACGGCATTTTGAGGAACTTTTGTTTTTGGAACAATTGGATTTCTATCATGAATTTCTGTTACATGCCTCAACATGTCTCTTGCTTTATGGAACTATTACATACATGGGTAAGAAGAACCAGTTGTGTGAGCAGTCTTTTTTCTTTTTGGATAGACAGTACAAGTTCCAGTCTATTCAGAGCAGGAGTATCAAATGTACCTTCATGATGATGCCTGGACAAAAGCTGAAACAGACCACCTCTTTGACTTATCACGACGTTTTGACCTCCGTTTTGTGGTAATTCATGACCGCTATGATCATCAGCAGTTCAAAGTAAGCCTCTAATCTCATTCACTCATTCTAATGTGTAAGTGCTGCTTGTAAAAAAGATGAAACAGGATGAGCTTGCTAGCTCCACTCCTTTTACCTTGCTGTTTTCATTGTCATTTATGTGGGGATGACTGTCTACCCAGGAGAGTTTTAGTTTTACAAAGACACTCCAGACATAAAGGGTAACAAGAACAGTAAGAAAGGTATGAAGTTAATGCATACATCACTACAGCTCCTCCTTATAAGTAGAGTTTATAGGTAAGGTGAATGTCATGAAAAGGGTTCTATTGACTAATAACTTTTATATAAATGCTGTTTTGGTGCAATGTGCCAAGTAACTTAAAATTTTAAGAATCATTTCTTGTCCAGTGGTCATCCTATAGAAGAGTAAATATTGAACAACAAGTGAGAACTGACTCATGTTCCCGTTAAAGATTTTTGGCTTCTTATCCTGTATGGGATAAGCAAAATTCACTGAAAAAAATGGAAATTGGGTCAATAAACTGGTCAGATACAGTTCAGTTCAGGAAGTTAGTGTATCACTGATACTCTCCTTATTACTCCTCAAATATGCTTCAAGTTCTATTTTATTTATTTATACATCACATTTATATAGCCATCCATCTCACACAAAGTGACTCTAATTCTATCACGGAGTAGCCAGAAACTTTGTCTAACTATAATCCAAATTTTAACTTTAACTCTGGAATTAGCATGGTATAAGGACTGAGATTTGAAAGCTTTTTGTTTCTTTGTTGGTTGCAGGCAAAAACTGATGAAAAGCATTAACAGTTGTGAAATATGAAATGATGTGATGTTAGCATGTGCCGCAAACCCAGCTTTTCACTCAAAGGCCTGCAGAAAAGATGTTGTCTAACTTACACAAACACCTTTGGGCACTTTACAGTTAGACCAGCTTAATTGAATGGTCATGGAGAATATGGGATAAGATGATGCAACAACAAGAGTGGCACAGATTAGATAATTTTGGAGAATTGTTGTTTAATCAAATATAGAAACCCCAACAGGTCCATACTCTTGTTTCTGATACCTTGGTCTGTCTATGTTAGAGATTTTTGACGTTTTTCTTCATGGAAGATATATATGTCGAACAACAAATATTAAATGATAAAAGATTTCTGTATAATTACATTTTTCTCATAAAATTGAATATTGGAAAGAATATCTACTGCCTCTTCTTTTCACTATTAAATTAATAATAGCATGGCATCATGCATACCAACCAGCTAATCTTATTCTGATAATGTATTGGTACTAGTTATAGTAATTTCTTATGTATGTGTTCTTTTATCCCTAATCTCTTCATTTTGTTTCATCTTTTCTATTTTTAACCCTTGTTCTTAACTTAGAAGCGGTCAGTAGAAGATCTAAAGGAGCGTTATTATCATATCTGTGCCAAGTTAGCCAATATTCGTGCAGCTCCAGGCACAGACCTGAAAATCCCTGTCTTTGATGCTGGCCATGAAAGGCGCCGGAAGGAACAATTAGAAAGGCTGTATAACCGAACGCCAGAACAGGTAATGCCAATGAATGTTAGAAGGCAGATAGGTTTTGAATTACTTAGTGCCAGAGCAGTAGCAATGGCCAGTGATTGCTGGTTCCATTATTCTTTGAAATTGTTAACATGATTCCTCTTGAAAGTAATTAGTAATATAATATAATGCACTTGCCACCTTTTGAAGACCCGTAATGGATATGTGAGAGCCAGTTTGGTGTAGTGGTTAAGGCATCAGGCTAGAAACCAGGAGACTGTGAGTTCTATTCCTGCCTAGGCATAAAGCTAGCTGGGTGACCTTGGGCCAGTCACTTTCTCTCAGCCCTAGGAAGGAGATAGTGGCAAACAACTTCTGAAAAACATTGCCAAGAAAACTGCAGAGGCTTGTCCAGGTAGTCTCCAAGAATCAGATGCGATTGGATGGATGAAAAAAAATGGATATGTCCATATGAATTGATCAGTATGACTAATAACATAATTAAAAGAACATACTGTGTTGAACTGTGTTACTCAATATTTGTTTGAGAAGTCTTGAAATAGGTTACTGAATAGTATGCTGATTATGAGAATCTACTTCTTAATTTTGGATAATTTTTCCCCATTAAGAGATGTATGTTTGCATTATCATGCAAATATTGCCACCTTATTGTATTTTTGGAGATTGATTTTTGTTAAGAGATTTGTGCATGAAGCTTCTGGCAACAGTTCATTGATCTGGTATCAAATGTATATGTATATGATTTTGACATCAAGAATGTAGATAGACATGGGAACTTTGGGAACTGTAGGGTGATGGGTCATAGAACCATGGCATATAGTGCTGCAAGATCTGCAACTTGAAAGGATTCCTAGGTCTTTAAATGTTGCACAGAAAAGAATCCAAAGTATAAAGCATCTTAAGTATGTTAACTTCTGGGTGGTGGGATATGGTCAACACTGTTAGCTTGCAAGATCATCTTTAGGTTAGATATCCTAGTTTGCATAGAATAGTGTGAGTGTGCTTGGGTTAAAACTGGGCTTTGGTTGCACTTGTGGCATGCTGCCCAGAAGGTGCCCAAACTGATTGATACATTCCTTACCATTAGCAGGAAATACTGCTTGAGCAGTAAAAGTAAGCATTTGGGTTAATGGAATATTAAGGGGTGGTAATGAGTGCACTGCAAATGTGAATGACTACTATATAAGTCAAGGGAAAGGCATGGCTTCTTTAAGGCTCTGTCAACAGGTACAGCAAGTTCACCTATATACAGTGGGGCAAAAAAGTATTTAGTCAGCCACCAATTGTGCATGTTCTCCCACTTAAAAAGATGAGA